CGAGAATCCAGTCCTATGATTCTGTCGTAGAAATAGGGATTGGTTTTAGCCACCATCATTTACAGAGGAATCCTTTATAAGTCAGTTTTTTCTTAGAAAGGCTGTAGATTCAGGGCCAAGCCTCGAGAAGCAGGGAGTTAAGAGGCAGAAATTAGTTGCCCCAATTAGGAAGCCACTGTGGGCCACACATATGACATGTCCCCATGACACAGAGATACATGGACAGATAGAGATTTGTTCTGTATAGAGATACCAAAAAATGCAAAATGCAAAATTGTATTTGACCATTATAACATGTAAGGCTATTATGATAATCCTCCTTTAGCAAGTAAGGAGGTGAGGATAAATGGACATTTAATGGTAGGCTGAAGGCCAGGATTATGTGTCACATTAGTGAGCCCTTCCTTAACCCCAATCCTGCCCCACATCTCAGGATAAAGTCCAAACTCCCCATCAAAGCCTGCCAAAGCTGTATCTTCTGCTTTTTGCCCAGCTCTTGGACTCTCCAATTTTTATTTCCTGCCATTTACTCTCTCACTCAGGTTTCTATTTTATTGAGCTTCTTGTAGTTCCACTAACACACCATGCTTTCTCTCACCCCCATGCCATTCTCTGTGCCTCCCACCCCCAGCTCCAGCAGCACCAGGCACCCTATGCTTCCCATATAAAGCACTTTTCACACTGTGTTCTCATTACCTGTTTGCATCTTTGTAGCCTCCAGTGGACTGTAAGCTCCAGAGAAAGGTACCCATCTCCCTCCTTGTTCCCCGATGAGCTCTGCACTGAACTGATGTCCTGGCACTCAGTAGATTCAATAAATGTTTATTGAATTATATGCATGAAGATGAAAAATGGCATCTCAGAAAAGTCAACTTACTGAAAGTCATGCAGTAATATCTGGAAGAGGACGGAACCCAGGTCAGCCTCATTCCAAAGTCCAAGATTTAGCCTGCCGTTCACATGTTGGGAGCCAAATGGATGCCAATCCACCTATCTGGGTACTAGGAAATGAGAGTATGGGTCTATATAGTCTATATAGTGGTGTAGTGTAAGGAAAAGATTGTATAACATAAAAGGAATCTAGAATAAAGTCCTTACTCCATGCTATGTGACGTTGGGCAAGTCACTCAAACTTCTCTGGGCCTCAGTTTCTTTAGTAATATGAAAAGGCTATTCAGGATGGTCTCTGGATTCTCTTTTTAACTCTGAAACACAGTTGACCCTTGAACAACATTGGCTTGAGCTGCACAGTTCCACTTATACACAGATTTTTTTTTTTTTGTAAATACAGCACAGTACTATAAATGTATTTTCTCTTCTTTGTGATTGTCCCAACATTTTTTTTCCTGTAGCTTACTTTATTGTAAGAATACAGTATATAATACATATAAAATACAAAATATGTGTTAATTGACTGTTTATGTTATTGGTAAGGCTTCTTGGTCAACAGTAGGCTGTTAGTAGTTAAGTTTTTAGGGAGTCAAAAGTTATACGCAGGTTTTCTACGAACGGAGGTGGGGGTCAGTGCTCCTAACCCTTGTATTGTTCAAGGGTCAACTGTACTATTATGTAAGGAACTTCAAAGTTGCAACCTCTTCCATCCTGTAACAACAATGCTCTCTTTATCACCAAGCTTGCTAAGTTCTTACCACTTTATCAATTCTCCTCACATTGCAATTTCCCTCTGCCCCTATCTAGCTACTGAAATTGTTCTCTCTAAATTAGTTGAAGACCTCTTAGTGGCTATATCCTAAATCCTCTTTTTAGTTTCCTTTCTATTGGCCTCCCTGAAGTTTTTGAAAGCCTCACTTCTGTGGTCTCTGCTAAAGTTTTTGGCTATTTTTTTTTTTTTTTCCTGTATCCAATGCCACTCTCTTATTCCAGGCCCTTCCCATCTCTCAATACTGTAATCATATCTTAATTTGTCTTATAGTCTAATCATCTTCCTCTTTGTCTGCCATCAAACTGTCAAAGCTATTTTTCCCCAAATACAAAACTATCAGCTCATTCCCCGATTTTGACACTTTGATGGCTCCCAGTGTCCATGGGATTAGCCAATATATAAATAAATGCCGATTGCATACATCTTCAACTCATCCTCTGGAGCCCAGGGTAGACACCATGATTTCAGTATAACTTCAGAACTCTTCTTAGCACAGATTTCCAGACAGCTACTACCAATCAATATATAAGAACATAAGACGGAACCTCTTCCTTCATAATATGGCTCTAACCAGCTTTCCAGACACATTTCCTATTCCTATTACTTTCTTTCCCATCCACACTCCATGTTCTGGATGCTTCAGAGCTTCCCCAACGTGCCATGCTGTTTCAGTGCACTTTACCCTTGTATATGCTAATTATTCCATAAGGAAAACAAATTTTCTACCAGATCTGGTCAATATTTACTAATCCCTCTAGAGCCAGTCCAAATTCTGCTCCCTTTTGAAGATCCTTCCTGACCAGCAGAGTTAGAAAAGTTTCTTTTACTTCTGTTTACATTATACTGCAACGATCTATTTCCATATGTGTCAATTCCCTTCTAACTAGAATACAACTTTCTCTGGACTGGGACCACTTCTTAATCATCTTTGTATCTTCCCTAGAACTTACTACAGTAGCTAGAACACAGTAGGTGCCAAATGAGTGTTTGCTGAATGAAAGACCAAACAGATGACAAAATGAATGACATGCCTCTAACTGTACATACGGTAGGTTTAGAACTCATGGTTCCTACTTATAGACACCGTGTGAGATATGCCCACAGCAACACTCCTCTTAGACTCACCTTGTTCCCAGGCATACCAGGGAAGTTGAGAATTTCATGATAAAGGACAGTAATAACATTAACAATGATGATGAGTGAACGCGTATGGTGTGCCGAGACAAAAACTGCTCATTTTAAGACTTAAGGAACAAGTAGCAGAATGATCTTCAAATATAATGAAAGATAAGAACAGAATAAAGATAATTCTGGCATAAAGAGTCATACTTTGATCTATTATCCAAAAATATGACAAGTGACTAAAACTCCACTGAAGACAGAGCTTTAGATCATTTATTAATACAATGGGAGCCAAAGGAAAGACGATCACTTACACATCTGTCTGGGCTGGGGAGTAAATAACATTTTTTATTATATGATTCTGTACTGGCTACAGGGAACATAATCTTAAGAAATTTCTTTACGGGGCAAATCTACATGGGCGAAAATTAGCTTAGGATAGAGTCTCCTCCTGTTCCAAAGAATAACCATAGAATCTGGAAAAACAAAATAAGTGTTAGGTGACAAAAATTTAGAAAGTGATAGTGCTGATTGTTGTATGCTCCTTTTAGAGGCTTACAATGCATGTTAGCATACTGGGGATACGAAGACTGCAGTAAGAAAACCTGCTCGGTGGGGCATACTCCAGAATTCTCCATATGCATTTGGCCAGTGAACTTTTTTTTTTTTTTTAATAGAATGTCTTGTGTTTATTTCCATGGAATTAGTACAGGGAATTATTGGCTTTGGAGGTTCCTAGAAACAGTCCCTCTGTGCTGGGATTCTAGCGGTGGGCATGTGCAAAGGCGATTGCTATGAAGACCTGTCTGATTTAGGGAAAATAAGATTGGCTTTGGTCAGGGCCAGAAGAGACTCATGAGTGGTATTATCATTTACATGAAAAAAATTCAACCCTAGATGAAGGCTTAGAAGAAAAGGCCAACTCTTAATCAGTCGTCTGAATTAACAGTTTAGTTATTGGGGCTGTCTCACACAGTCATAGGAATTTATATTTTCATTTTATCCCAAAGAAAAACTTGACCGTCTTTCTTTAATACTATCAACCTGGAAGCTTGACAGTAAGGATTAAAAATTGTTCCTTCCTTCCCACTTGGTTATTGGAAAGGCTCTGAAAGGTAATCAGTCTTGTGAAGCTACACTTTACAGTCTGCATAAAAATGCCATGATTTCCCTTCCTCTCCCCAACCTAATTGAAAGTGCATAATATCACCCAGCTGGGGAAATGTAAACGGTAAACAGATGCAATATATCATGCTATCGCACAAAAGCTGGTTACTAATAGGGACTGGGTGGTTGTCAGAACCAAAAGAAATCTGGAAAACAAGTCTTTTTTTCATCTAGAATGAGAGCTCTTTGTGCCTGCTACCCTTCCCCCTCACCTCCTCCCTCCAGAATTCAAGCTGCAGCCAGATTAAGCCAAGGTCAGTCAACTCATTCCTTGCGTGTGTAATTCCAGGGGTCACCTAACAATGTATATTGACTAAAACATTCTTATATCAGCCTTTCAAGAGATGAGACATTTTATTTGTGGCAGGAGGTGGGGCTGAAATCATTTTGTTCCCTACTTACTTCAATTGTGCTGACAGATGGTCTTATTATCTCTTTCCTTAGCTGCTAAGCCTAAAGATCCTTGGCCTTGTCACCTCTTACCTTTCTCTACTTCATCAAACTCCTATTGCCAAGATTATCTCCTTTTCTACCTCGGATAATCCATGAACATCTACATAGGATCACATTTTCCTTGAGTGTAAAATCCCAACCTTGCTTTTCAAGGTCCTCTGCACCTCTGCAGCTCTCCGGAATTCCAGCTCCATTATACCTCCGTAGAAGCCACCATTCTCTGACTCCTCACCTCCCAGTGTTAGGACATCTTCTCAAATTAGTCTTTCACAGTAGGACTTGTAGGAGAAAGGACATTATTCCTTCAAAGTTTTCATCATTAGTCCTCTGCCACAATATCCTTTCAAAAACTGCTCCCTGTTGCACCATGACCTCAACGACTACCATTCATTCATGCCACCTTATGGCTGGTTTTTTGTTTTATTTTTGATGGCTGATAGCTTACGGGTGGGTCAAAGCCTAGCTCTTACCAAGGGGACTATCTCATTTCAGTTTTAATAGATTAAAAGGATATATTTTTATTGGCTTCAGCAGGAGAGATGACTTGAAACTCACTGAATTAAAGCTATATTTGTCTTTCAATAAGTTATATTACCTGTCAACTGGCACCGGTGGATGATATGGCTTGTTGACCTTGGCATAGAGACCCTCTAAGTGGTCTCTCTCTGGAGAGAGAGGACGGCCATCCCGATGGTAACCCAGGGGTCCAGCCCGAGGTGGAGATGGTGATCTATAGACACTTGCTGATGCACATGGCTCCCGGAAGTGGTTCACTCTGGCATAGTTGGGGTCCATTTCATCATCGTCCATATCATGCAGTGATCCAGCTGCACCAGTAGCATAATCAATAAGACCTCTTGCCTGCTTTTCCCTTAGCTCCTGATGTTTTGCTCCAATCCTGAAAAAAATGTAGAACAGGTAGCAGAGACATATGTGAGTTTTATGTGGTAATACAATGACAGACTCTTCTGAATCTATGTTGATTTCTCCTAGTCAGTCACTTAGCTGTTATTCTCCTGTTAACCCAAGATCACACCATATAGAGATGCCAATGGGGTATCAGTGGGGTTAATTTTATATCTCTGACCTTTATTTGTTAGGGGCTCTTGACTTTTATAGCAATGGAATATGTATTTTGACATCTTGCCCACAGATGAGTGTGCTGACTGCAGAGTCAGAGGCTGATATTTATTAACGTTCCCTTCCTACAAATGGATGTGCCTGTGTGAACAGTGAGTGTGGAAGATAATATGGAAGTCTTCCTTGGGAGAGGGATGTATGTTAAAGAGCCCATCAGAATCACATACTTTGGCTAAGATTTCACTATTTGGTACCCTGGAGTTCTAGTGTATTCTTTTAAAGGAAAGAGCTTGCGAAATTGATTTAAATATGAAAAAGAAATACAGAGGCTTTCTGGTCACTGGAAGCAGTGGGATCCGAGGTAATTTATGAGAGACTCTAAGTTTTTTGGTCACACAAATGGGGATCATGGTGTCTCATTATATAGGGGCTAGGGACAGAGTAAAATAGTGAAGAAATTAATAGGCTCCTGACAGAGATGAATTGGCACATATAAGTGAATTAAACATTACTGGCAGAACTCCACGGTGCTCAAGCCTTAAGTGATATTACAAAATGCTACTGCTAATCAGTGTACTGTGTAGACTACTGGGAATGGGAGTAGGAAATATACGTAGGTGGATTCCAAATCCATCTGAATTTTAAGAATTTGACATTTAATCTGGAAAGTGTTAGATCAGCTCTCCTAAATTCTCAGTTATGTGTTAAAATGGAAAGGTCACTGTGGCATCCTATTGGACAATGGTGATGTGATGGTGTCAGGAGGTGTTCTGAGCTAATGAGGAAAGGAGGTAACCTTACATCACTGGGCAAACAGGGTGCACTCTGAGAGCGGCCGGCAATGCTGGCTCTGGCAGCCAGAGGAAGAAGTCAGGAGCAGATGGGGACAAGCCTGAATCCTGGGCTCTGAGAATACAAGCGGGCTCTGGGCTGAAGTGAAGGATCTGTACATGCCTGGACACATGTATAGAGACCTTGGATGAATTAAAAAAACAAAAACTGAACTCTCTCAGTACCTTCTCCTCTTCAAGCAAAAACACCTATTTTTGCACAGGGCAGCTAGCTTTATTTTACAGAACATCACACTCTTTGTAAAAATCTTTAAAAGCCATCATCTTTATCTTTCAAGGTATTTTCTCTTTTGCCAGGATGGCCCCCCCCTTTTTTTAAGTGGAGAGAAGGGAAGGGGGAAAAAAAAAACACGAAGAAGAAGGTATAGGACAAAAATCTAGCATCTATCCCCAAGTCACAAAAGATGAAAATAAATGCCAGGGTACATTATTGCATATCTCTTTGACTAAGTCAAATCATGTATCCTACACATAAGTCATTAGAAGAATTGATATTTTTATAAAGAGGAGCTTGACTCTCCAAGGGATTTTGAATGAAGATGAAAGGAAGATTACACGGTAGGGTACCTGTTAAGAAGCCCTGCCTGTCCCCGTTCAGTGCACATTAGTCCTAGATTCACGGGTGTTTGTTTTGAATAATTTTTTATAAAGAAGATAACTTGCTCTCTTCTGCAACAAAACTGATCTTTCCGGGACAGTGCAGACTGGATTATCAGAGAGCGCTCGCTGCACTATGATGATAGGGATGGATTTCCACGGCAAAGAGAGCGCAGGGCATCAATAAGGTCAGGGGGTGGGATTCTGTGTGGTTACTATGCCTCCTCAGTGCGATACCTTCATGAGAAATCATTCAGCAGAAAGGTGAACATCTCGTGGGTGCTGCATAAAGCTACACTTGTGCATTAATGAAAGCAGAGAACACCAAGCCTGGTTTTTAAAAGTCACAGAAATAGAACACCAGTATCTGTGCTCCTTAGCTCATCACTTCTCTGTCTTAGAGGTTTTCTCATTAATTAGGCTTGCTAGGTATGTAAAGATTCTCAGATGAAAAGTACTCTGTGTATGCAAAGCAGTATTTTATCTTGTGTTTTTTTTCCTTCTAAAACAAAACTAAATTTCTCCTTGATCCTCTCTGCACCACTGAGGGTTTCAGTAACTAATTTCATATTAATCACTCAGTAGGTGAAACAGTAATTTCTCTGAACCGTCATTATTATGCCATATATCAGGGTCTCTCCATGTGGGGGAGGACAAAGCAATCTGAAAAGGGGTGTATGGAGGCAGAAGAGACTTTCGCCGGCGAGAAATGTGGAGGAAATAGATTTTTTTTTGTTTTTGGTAGCTCTGACCTCTCTCTGCCCCAATTCAGTGTGAGAATTCTAATTGTTTAGAGTCCTTTCCACTTCAAGGTCTTCTTATCACTGGTAACTCAACCTGTTAAAATATCTATCTTTCAAAATAGCTCTTGACAAAATATCTTTTTTATAGGATGGTACCACCAGCTTCCCCATTCTCCCCAGCACAATTTCTTCTCTCTCTTTCCTTACAAAAGCATTGTTGTTTCTTTTCTTCCATTATAACTCTTGGATATCCTCTTTTATTTCCATTTCTTTAGACAAACTCTAGTATTTAGGCATTATATTGCTTAGCTGTGCACTGTCCAATACGGTGGCCACTAGCCACATGATGCTGTATACATTTAAATTAGAATTAATTACAGTTAAATAAAATGTAAAGTTCAGCTTCTCACTGTCACAAATCACATTTCAAATGCTCAATAGCCACACGTGGTTCGTGACTACTATATCAGACAATGCAGATAGATACAGACTACTTCTATCATTGCAGAAAGTTCTATTGGATCGTGCTGGCCTAGATTATTCTAACATTTTTTGGTATGTCACCTTGTGCCACTTTAATCTATACCTTAAAAGGCTGTTGGATAATCTTCCCCAAAGAACTTAGCTCTGTCAGATCAAGGATCTCTAACAAGAGATTATAGTAAATGATGGAGTAAGAGTATGGTTACTCTACTTCCTCCCTCAAACTCTAAATGGACAAACAATTGAGAAATTGGGAAGACAAAATTCCATCTACACAATGGAATTAGCAAATGACCATAAATCTTAACACCGTGCAATGAAATTTGGACTCAACCCAAAAGGGGGAGTTCATTAAGAGTTGATACATGCCTACGTCTCTAGCAAGGTATACATTTCACTGAAAGTAAGATCAAGATTACAGGAAATAAACTTCTATTTAGAAAACAATAGTTTGAAGGCAGGTTTAGGATCCTTTGTAATTGTGGGGTAAATCCTTGTGAGGTTCCAACTTAAGAGTGGAGGAGAGGTGGAGCTAGAAGAGAGATATTTCCTCTGAGAGATATAGTTCCTCCTCCACTGAAGAAACTTCTTAGAGTAAAAAGAGAGAAGGGAAAAGAAGCTCTAACCTATTTTGTAGCTGACAGGCAGAATTAGCAGAGCAGAGATAAACAAACACAAACTCATCAAAATAAAACCAATAATCTAAGAGGCTTCACTAAGCAAGCTGATCTCTTTCAGCTTGATCTGCTCTCCCAAAATGGAAAACCATGGAAAACAAGCCCCCAGGGTGTGCACCCAGCAGATGTAGCAAGAAGATATTTTGAAAGAACATACGGAATTGAAGTTGCTGGTGACCTTAGATCTCTACATCCTCCATGTCCTCTAGCACAGATTTAAAAAAATTTTTTTAAATATTATATAACATGATATTAATTTAATGGGTCATAACAAGCATTCGAAGAATTAAATACAATAAAAGAGAAAAATATTAGGGGTTATTGCACATAGTATGCATACCTTTTGTTTTGAGAAGGAGAAAAATCAAGTTGTCTAAAAATTCAGGCTAGCCTCAAACATAAATAAAGCCAAAAGAAGAATATTCTCAAACATTTCAGGGAGTAGAGCTTGTTGACCCACTGTGAAAAACTACTTAACAATTAAAAGCAGTCAACCAAAAATTGAATCAAAATGAGGAATTCAACTTAATAAGGCTGTGGGATGACAGGTGTGAAGGTGAGCGGTACCTTAACCTTAGGTTAAAGGTTAAATGTTTGTAGCAACATAGTTATGGAAAAACATAAATATGATAAACTCTGACAATATAAAAATAGTAATCATTAGTGAATATCAGAAACCAATAAGGATGTGTAGGAGAAAGCATTAACATTCAGGTGTATTCATTACCTCACCTTATAGAGCAGGCATTGGTAGTGACTGTTTGAAAGTGGATAAAGCAGGAAACAGAGGGCGGAGTATATTAAATATTACTATAGAAAAGCTACTAAAAAAACAAATTATCAGAAGAGAAATGTATGAAATAAAACTCCAACCAGAGAAAAAATAGAAAACAGGGGCTGCCTGGGTGGCTCGGTCAGTTAAGCTGGATTTTGATTCAGGTCATGATCTCAGGGTTGTGAGGTCGAGCCCTGTGTCAGGCTGTATGCTTCAGTGGGGAGTCTGCTTGGGATTCTCTCTCTCCCTCTCCCGTTGCCCCCTTTCCTGGTCTCTCTTTCTCTCAAATAAATAAAAATCTTTAAAAAAGATAGAAAGCAGAAGCAGCAAAAAAGTAACATAAAATCAGATGGCCAGATTTATCTTTTATGACAGTAAATGAAAATGGAACAAATGTCTTTATTGTAACTACAGAATTCCAGATAAGATAAAAAAGAAAAACATACTATATGATACTGAAATAGTGAAAAAATGACGAATAGCCTAAATGTGCAGTGATAGGGGACTAGAAAGACATATGGTTCGGCCAAAAAATACAGTCGTCCTATTACCACACAAAAAGGAAGTAACATACACATATGGGCCAAGACAGAGAGAGGTATTTGTATGAGGTATCACATATTCTTGCATATGCATAGAAAATGTCTGGAAGGACACAAAAAAATTCATAACAGTGATGGCCTCTTGAAAGT